ATTCTCATTTCAGCGAAACTAATGGAGTTCCTCGCCAATAAGGGCATCCGTGAACGATGCATGGGGGCCAACTTCGAAAAAGTAAACGACCGTTATTCACCAAGAAACTGTTCGTTGTTCAGATTGCATTAGACCGTTCACCGTTATAGACAATGAGATGCAAAAAAGACAATGGCCGTTAGTCATTCGGGTCTGCTAGTCTCAATTTTTTCTCTGCTTGGTTGCTGAGCTACCACCGCTTCGGCAGTAACACCTTGAGAGAGGTACGCCTCCATATATGAAGGCTTCGTAAGCGGAGCATGCCACGACTTCATCAGGCTTCTCGAATTTTCTTCGGCTCTATGGTGAAGGCTTTCTAGGTCAGTCATACTTTCGTCTTATCAGGAGGTTGCTTCATTACTGTCAGAGGCATTCTCAATTCTGAAAAAGGATTTCCCTTCCTCCTGAGCAATGGGATCGAGTCACAAATGTTGGCTTTGTACATTATATACCAATTTTTCGTCCGCGATTAATCATGCATGGACCAGCTGATTTTTTTTGTGCTTCATCATCATTCATTACCCACCCTATGCGGACTTGGTCCATAAATTAAAGGGTTCCGTCAGGAAAGAAGAAAATTTCATGGCAAACACGCATTCACAGCTTCCCAGGGCATACACAAGCACACGCGGCTCTTTATACTCCATATATACATAGGTAAATACATATTTGCATACACATTCATGCTTTTCGTCCATAGTGGTAACGTCTACGTGGTGCCCATGACAGAAACCTTGAACAAGCCATCTTCTCGTATTACCCCTGGGTGATGTGGCCGAATTTTTAGCAGAGCGTATCTTAAAAAGGACTGTCCAGTAAGGGTATCTGTCACGGCATTTTGGGTATCCTCATTACTTTGTTGTGATAGAAAAGCAGGAAGCCCCATGTGTACTTGGTCCGGCATCTTTATGCAATACTTGCTTTCTTGTCAGCCGTCCAAACAAATAAACAAACATCTGGCATAGTTACCGGTACCACAACGAGTACCAGCCGTTCTTCACCTCAGCTGTACTCAGAAATCAGTGAGATTAATCTCACGATCAGTGAATCAGAATCAGGGCTGTCAATGACCCAAAGTCACTTTCTATCGGATTTCTCTGGGAAATTCTAACAATGAGGGGCTACGGACTGGAAGTTGTTGTTGACAAACAGTACAATCAGTGTTGTGACTGTTGTCAGCGGATTGATAACGTGGCCCTCCTACAAAAGAAAACAACTAACCAATATTTTTCTCCATGACCATGCTAGGCCACGTCCTTGAGAAAATATCCTAAGTTTCTAGCCCTTTCACCTTGGGAACTCTAACCTATGCCGGACGAATGACCAGCCGTTTAGTCATTCAGCTCGCAGGCAAGCTCTCGAAGCAGGAACTATTCAAACAATCGCACTTCACTTCTGGGAATATCGGAATTCTCAAATAGTCGAATTAATTTTCAACAATGGCCCCATTTTGTAGGCCGTGGACTGGTGAACTCCAAATTTGGGCAAAGGACCCAGCCCGTTTCTACTCGATCGCCCTTGCGATTTCTTTCTTTTTAACTTGCTGTAGTGGTCCGAGGGGATTGCCTCAGTGCTACATTTTGATTCATACTGAGTGAAAGAGTCACCAATGACATTTATTTCGTAGCCGTCGTGTCTGTTTCAATCAAGTATGTTCAGAAGTTTGATCGAAATTTTGTTTTCTTCTGTTTTTTCACGCGGGCGGGTCCTTGTGATGTATTACAAAAATATGAAATGAAGTAACGATGTATTTTGTGTTGGATGGGCAATTCAATGAAATAGTGATCAATGAATGCAGTCAAGGTGATCGGAATGCATTACTCACTTAGACTTCCAAAGGTTACTTCACTGTTACACCCTAATGACCTTTTCGAATAGTTTGTGGGCGCTGTCGTACAAATGGCGACATGATCGGCCTGATTCCTGCGTACTTCCTATCAATCCAATCGGCAATCGTAGGCTTCCTTTTTGGAAATCGGCCTTCCTCAAGTAGTTCCAGTTCGAACAAGCCATCGTTGCAACGTTGGGGCTTCTTTATTGTGATCGATTCGGGCATTCGGGAGAATTCCTTGGCTCTGTTCTAATGGAATTGACTACTGTCCATAACTTGAAGTTAATAATCCTAATTGGATTGCCTATTTTGTTGCTTTTTCTCCAACTGGATCCTAATTGTAGGAATGCTTTTGGCTTCGTCTCGTTCCCTTTGCAGTAATAGACGACAGGAATTCGATATAAGAAAGGAATACATCTATATATTCAAGCTTTTCATGATTTATACCGGGTTTCCTTTCTATTGGCTCATGAAGACACACCCCGTTTCAGGACCCAAGGCAGCATTTCGATTGCCTCCACTGCCTCTACATTCATCGCAATGCATTTTCAAAAGGTCGCATTTTATGCATAGCGCCGCTTCGAAGAAATCAACTTTTCGGTCGCTTTACTTCGGTTTCTTACCCAACTTCAAAGAAATCATTATTCATCTTTAAGTCATCATACCCACTAAACTTTATTTGAAAGGCCTCAAAGGGTAAGCCTTTTGCCGTTAATCTGTCCCGTTTTTGAAAGGCGCCGGTGCATTTGACTTGTCGAGGTCTTACACAGTGGCGTTCTTGCATAGATATTTGGCATATACAATGACCCGCGGTAACCAGCCGAGTGAAAGTCAGAGTACTTTATCCTCCCAGGCAAATCCGGCATCAATTAGTCGATCCCGGGGGATGAGAGACTTCGTTGGGCTGGCCAAATACTGATCCGGGATCCACTCAGGTAAGTCGGCACCTTCTAACCGATCCCGAAGGGATGAGAGCTTGGTTGCCCTGCTCAAGTACCGATCCGAGATTCGATCCCCTAAACATGTGTGTGTGTGATCCATCTTGGAAACATTCTCCATACCCTAATCTATCCCTTCCCTAATCTGTTGTAATACTAAAAGTGTGTGTTTTCAGAGCGTGAAGGTTTATAATAATAGTATGCACTGTGTTGAAATGAGTTTATTGTATCGTGCTAAAAAAACCTCTTCCGCGATGTTCTCCCTTCCTTGGGCCCGCGTAGTCTAATAGGTCTTATTTTCTTGTCAATCACGTGAGCCAAGGTTCATTTGGGAATTCCTGACAATGCAACTCTTTCTTTTGCTGGTCCGGAAAGGAAAAAAAATATCCAGAAACAATTACAAACGATTGTGTTTCGCATGGGACAGCTCGCGTGGTCTAACTTTTGATTGCTCCAGTTCTTTTTGTATAGATGAATCGTATGTGTATAGATGAATGAAGGAAGGTCTGTATACAATTTTAACAAGCAGTACTCCCTATTTACCTGGTTTTGTTGATCGTCGGAAAGAGCTGTTACCATTAGCAACCCATTTTATGATTCAGTCTGAGTACGTGGAAACAATTCTTGAGAAAAACTCCCATGCAGTCTTCACTTGGATACCCGAAAGGCATATATATTTGGGGAAACATCTTTATTTTTCACCTGGCAACAATTTTCCTCCTAACAACAGGTTGCAGTAAACGGGGAATTACTTTGTAATACTTAATACTGATTCGAATAAGCGGTGCTAACTGCAATTTGGCCATTACACTCCAAATGGCAAAATAAAACCAGAGACTGGCGTGATTCAAGCAGCTCACAATCAACCGCAAAAGTGTCGTAGCAGCTCCAAATCTTCATTCATTATAATTCAATCCAGTGGAAAAAAAGATAAAATTCTTGGCGTCCAATAATTCCGTCTTTGGGATGGGCGCCTCCTCATGCAGAATCATAGTGTCGTAGTTTGATGCGAATTGTTTTGAACTCTCACGAGGTTGACAACTTTATTAGCTAACGTTCCGGCATATCGCATTCCCCAGAGTCTCAACCACAGCACTGTAGGTTAAACAGGATGTGGGTTACTGAAGCACGGTCAGCAGGACTGAATGCTAGCATATTAACCGATTTTATGTATCACATGTCGTCCCCTTGAATTCCTCAGGCGAACGCCAGTAACGCCTCCTTTCGTCCCTGTCGCGAGCCAGAGAGGTCCTGTGAATCGCCCTCGCTTCAAAGACACGAGGCTCAGGCTGTCGTGAAGAAGTCTGACCATAGTGTTGGCGGCCGTCCTGGTGATCGCTTGACGCCCCGAAAGATCCAGTCAGTAACCACCCCGGTCCAACGATCATTACCATGACGTGTCCGGCCCACTTGATCCTTGATCCTTGACCATCATATCACATCCACCCACCATCCTGAAATTAACTACTGACGAACTTGTTCTGAATGTTAATTTCTTCTCCACTAGATTACCTTCCAATCAAGTTTTCTTTGATACTGAAGTGCTGTCGAAAATAGAACGAGATAATTCAATACATAATTTTGCTGGCTGTCACATATGTTCATAAGGAATATATGATAGCACGTGATAAATTGCTTTGGATTAAGAAGTCCCCGACTCCCTGGCCTCACTGGATCATTGAGCTCACTAGTTGTTAGGAAGCAAGCTGAGCATCCATCCTTGAGACTGCTCTCTTTAATCCTTCTACCGCTACCATGTTCCGATATGCTGACTTGTGCTGCAACTATACTTCTCTTTGGAGTTAATTAGTATATTTGCATCATCCAGAACTTTTTGTTAAACTCAGATCACATTCATTATTTGTCTTGAAACCCTCATTGTTTTTTAAACCCGAAAAAGGGTAACCATGTGGAAGATTCATAGTTGAACCCATAAGACCAAACCAACCCCTCCCACATAAGCCGCCTGAATGATTATTGCCGATATTGTATAATATGTGCNCATTGCCCTCTAAAGCAGCCTATTCATTTTCTTCCCCTCAATTTGCTGCTTCCATCCCAATACCAATATTCATGACCGCTCGAGCATTTATTTCTCAAATTGATACAAGAAGTGAACGAACGACATTTTCATTTTGTTATTCACAGAGGCAAAGAAATTTGTTTAGTCGGCTGCTTGGGCTCACTGAGGAATGACGATCTCGTATTCTGGCAATTTCTTTCGTCTACTTCTGCGATGGAAAGGCTCTCTATGGCGTTCAGTGTGGCGAGAATTGCTGGTTTATATTGCACTTTTCTACGCCGTCAAGCTTTTCTATCTTGTTGGTATTGACTACCTCTCAGACGACTCAAGTGATAGAGAAATGTACAGGTGAGTGTAAACCTTGTAAAGCTATCCTTATTAGGTAAACCACAACATTTAATGGAAACTATGCTTGAGTGGCAAGTGCAAAGCCTATCAAGCAGCGCTGTATTATGTAGGAAACGACCAGCCGATCTCCCCAGCAGGAAGATGGCGGGGGAGGGGGGAGGTGAATGATTTGTAAATTTGAATATAACACTTTTCTCAGCACAAAACAATCTGTAAGGAGAGAAAATAACCACCCTTCCAATAGTCTTACCAAATGAGACGAGGAAGCAATTTTCCTATTTCGATTCTTCCCTCAGAATGTCTGGTCAATCAAATCCGTACCTCTTCCGGCTACCCCAAGTATAGATTCGACCCTTGACCAATATCGGTAGTTCCTTCATGATCCAGGAACACTATGATGACTACTGCCTCATTTGCAATGCACATAAGGTTTCCACGAAATATTCACCTCAGCAAAAAGTGACCTATTGAGGGATAAAAGGAAAGTACGTAAGGTCGAAAATAATAGTGAAAGGACCTTATTTAGAATCCGTCTAGATGGTACTGGTATGGGATTTTTTGATCTCTCAATGGGGTTCGATTGCGTAGGCGCATCCCTCAGACGGGATTGATTGACTTCTCAAGACTTCTACTTTTTACTCTATCTGTTACCTCTGCTTTTCGGATTTACTGAGCGTTGGCACAGTGTACTACTCAGGGCGAGAGCACTTTTAGCATCATTTTTGTGTTATGTGGTAGACCTGGGTGTAGCAACGTGGAAAGCCAGAGGTTTTTCACGATTCCGAGGTCCTTGGTCCGGGAACTAAAATAACTCTTTTTTCTTCATTTCCTCTTTCTGTCTTATCCCCTAATCTCTTTGAGGGGCAAACATCATGTTGTCGTGCTGGGTTGTTCACCAAGAGTAGTCTGAGAGTTTTTTTGTTGATATGATATCATTTTATGGTCAATGAGAGAAGGCAAAGTAGACTTTTGTCTAATTGAACGACCCTATCGAATACGACAACGCGTTTCATTTCATCTATTTCACAGTTCAGTGACTTTCCGGAATTCTTGATTCTGTACATCTTGCAAAAAGGTTGAATAACAACTAACGGAAATTAGTTTTTCCTAGAAAATCTCTTATCATGTCATTGGAATGCCAGTCGTTCCTTTTTTACCAAAGGGCGACATTGCTACCGCTCCTCCCTTACAATGTAAAGGCACTATCTTCTACAGTCTCTGGTGAAAACAACGCGAATTGCGTTCCAGAATTTGAGACGGAGATCCAAAAATAATGGGATCTGATGCTGTTTTGGGACAAGAGGACCACTAGGCTATCTATTTTTTGTATTATATTGTCGAACGCATCCGAAAATCTCCAAACTTCATTCGATTAAGGTGAGAAAATGGAGATTAGAAATCGGTTTTATATGGCTAAGTTTGCTTCGCAGTCAATGACCCACCGCCACCATTCAGAAATCATCTAGACACCGAGCAACTGGAACTCTCCAACGGTTTGGGATAAAATGCTGTTAACGTCCATTTCGGCCAACGACCAACTGTGCTTACAACTAATTGTCTTCAGTTTACCAAAGCAAATCATTACAGTCGATAATCCAAGCCTTCACCCCTCCGGCGTCTGACTTCATCCATTCGTTTGCAGAGTGGTCATTGTGAGCGTCTTCTCCACTACACAATGGGCTCGTTCTTGTTCTTTCTTTCCGTTCTTTCATCTTACTCACCCACTCATCGGCAACTTCAAAAGATGCACTTTTCCAGCAGGAATGATTTGTGTTACGGCTATCTCACTGTAACGCCCCATTTCCGTGATTTTGGTCATCAAAATCTAGTTCCAGTTCCTAGCGGTTTCCCATTATGTTCAGGAAAACTGATTAGGCCCCGTTGTGCATAGATGAATCTAAGAGAGGACATGAGAAGGAGATGAAAGAGCTTTTTCCCCCACCACATCGCTTGTTCTCTGATATTTTTGAACGGTTCCCGCTATCCCAATGCAGTTTTTCTACCTTCACTTTTTGACCACGCTCATCTCTTTTAAGTCAATCCCACATGATTGTCGGAAACAACTGGAGGGAAGAATGGAAAATATTCATTGTACGGACTGTAAAGAGGGCAAGAGGGCATTTGCTGGCCGAACCAAGTAGATATGTCAGAAAGAGATACAAACTGCGTAAGTCAGTACAGCACCTCAAGAAGGTACAGAGAAGAACCAGATTATGATGGAATTTTCCGTAAGAGTGTGACATAAAATGTGCTCTAAAAGGCATCGCAGTGAGAGTGAAGTCAAAAGGAATCGTCGCTTACTCCATGGGAGTGGAATACAAGGGCCACAGAAAGCCTGCCGATATTCATAAATTAGAGATCAGCATCGTCCACAAGGTGAATCTCCTAGCATTGGAAGGTACTTCCAAGCTCTTTGCGTTTTTGGTGAAGACGGGTATGTATCAACTGCGAACCTAAGTAGAGTAATGAAATGTGGAATAACACGATGAAAATGTGGTTCACCTTATCAACAGCTGAAAATGACCACAAACTCGCTCTTGATTGAGTAAATAAACTTGCAAGAGCCTATCTGATTACTATAGTCATCTCGAATTTTTTTTTCCTATAGATTAGACGGAAGGTCATGGGTGATGATAAATTAACGGTGTAAGTCGCTGTTTTGAGGCTTACTGGTAAAATTGGACCCTAAAATAGGAAAGGATTGAACCTACGGCCGAATTTAACCTCGACTTGGACACGTTTATTGGGACCTTCAGCTCAACAGTTTCAAACATTATGAAGTACCGTTTGCTTTCAGACGTAAATTTGAGGCACTGTGCCGTATGTTCAACGAGTATACAAGGCTGATCCCTCTGACCTTCCTGCTTGGCTTCTACGTCTCAAACGTTGTCTCGAGGTAGGTACATTCACTTCAAATAATTCAATCTTC